CCCCCCGGCGCTTCCTTTTTCTCCCGGAGCCTTCCCAACTCATCGGTTGTGCGTTTCCATCGACCGGTCTGTGTTTTCTCCTCTCCCTTTGCCCAGGCGCCTTACTTTTTCCTCCCCCTTGGGTCAGTCTTGCAGCGGCCCGGCATGCCTGTCCATCCCCCCAAGGCACCCCTTGACCGCCCCAAGGCGCTCTCTGGCCCTCGAAAGAGCAGACTGCGGCTGGCTCTGAAGAAAGGCGACGCAACCGCTGAGGAGAAGGGCCATCTGCTCAACCAGACCTTCCCGCGACCATCTGCCGCCCAGGCAGCGTCAGCACGGACCAAACAGAATGGGTCGACTGGCAAACCAAGCGGGGCCGTCCTCGCCGTTCGGCCTACGGGCAGCCCCACATCGACCAAAGCACCTACAGGGACCAGCCAGAGCGTGCCGCACACGTGGCACTCCCCCCTGCCCATCCACCCGCACTCACACACCGACAGCACCAGCCCCAGGACGGCACACCAGCTCGTGTTGCCGTCGACAAGGGGGTCGCCGAAACGAGTTGCTGCTGGAGTGTGTGCGGATGGGAGGAGGTGCGACGGGGCACAATCAAGGGGAGGAGTGGACTCCGTGACGCCAGTCGAGGTGCTGCCGCTGCAGCTGGAGCCCATTCCATCACAGGTGAGGCGCTCGCAATCGAACGAACATGATGCCTGATGTGTGTCTCTGGTGTGTGCGTGTGTCTGTGTGTGTCTGTGTGTGTCTGTGTGTCAGGTAGAGGATTACGCGGCAGCAAGGCGTGAGTGGCGTCAGGAGCGGCGTCGTCTGCTGCGGCTGGTGGAGGAGGAGCGGGAGGCCCGCATGTGGCTCACCGACCACCTGAGGAGGGAGACTGACCACAGGGAGAGACGCGAAGACGAACTCTCAAGTACCATCAAAGAGCTACAGGCACAGGTACCTATTACCGCAACCCAGGGATGGATTGATGGATGCATGCATCAGGGAACGTGCGGACACTTTGAATGTGTGTTCAGGTATCCTCAGGCGAGCGTCGCTTGCAGGAGCTCAATCACGCCCTTGAGGCCCAGTCAGCCGCTCTGGACGTGAGTGGCCAGCGCCTTCACAGAGGGAAAGGAATACGAACTCATTTCCGCTATCTTTCCCCTTTTCATCTTTTAGGATGAGCGCCTCTTTCGCCAGGCAGTAGAGAACAGGATCGTCACGCGCCTCTTGCAAGAGAGTGCCCCATACCAACATCTTCTCGAGACGCTCCAAACCCCAGACGGCCTCAGACGCCTTCTCGGCATAGAGCAGCACACACCGTTGACACAGCAGGAAGCTCCTGCCCGTCAAGAGGAAAGCAGCGCTGCGACCGTGCTCCGTGCGGCCGGCCGGTCCCACCAGCAGACGCAGACGCACGAGACGGTCGTGTCTCAGCAGAGCAGAGGCGGGTCACTCGTGTCGTCGGCTGCACTGGTTCCTGGGACAAGCATGAGCCCGTTGACGCCGTTCCCGAGGAGGCAGAGTGCCGGGACACACCTGTCCTCCAGAAGGTAGGTACTCCGCACACTCATGTCTCTGTCCGTGCATGCGCATTTGCGTGCCTATCTGATCGGTTAGGTCGTCTGGAGTCCGCTCAAGGCTGTCTGGCAACTGTGGCTGCTACTGTCATATCTGTGGGTGCCCGGCACCCAGGGGCACCCTCAGTCTGATGGCTTCCCCCCGCAGCACCAGACTGCGGAGCCTCCCGGCCGGACTCCCATACCACACAGCTAAGGACGGGTCGCCACAAGGATTCGGGTAAAAGAACGAGGCAAAGAAAGGCGCGCTCAGGGTGTGATGGATACGTGGCTGTCTTTTTGCAGGAAGGGGCGGAGGGATTGGGCCACCAACCGGTTCTATGAGACGTATTCTCCTTCTTCACCCCCATTCGACCACCATGTGGCTGTGGCTGAGGGTGAGGGTGCCACGACCGCTCTGGCCCTGCCTGATGGGGCGAGAGATAGAGAAGACGCTCGGGGGGAATACAGCGATGGAACAGTGCTGAGGAGCAGAGAGTAAGATGAATGGGATGACACGCAGAGCAGCTTGTAGACAGAGACATGCGTGTAAGGTGGCTGTACCTCTTGTTGACAGGGCCATTCATTTGGAGCATTTGGAGCCCCCAGCCCCATCTGATGGCCTCGACAGCCCCGCCAAGTCACCAGAAGGTATCTGTGCGGATCAGAAGATAGCAAAGCCACCAATTGAACCGACCGACCGAGTTTCGTTATTGTGGCACCTTCAGACCGCGACGGCCTCTCCCCTTCCCCTCAGGAGCATGAAGAACTGACACCCCTCCCACAGGACTATCTCAAGGAATACTTTCGGGTGAGCCACACTCAACCGACAAACATCCCGGCCCCATTTTTTTCCCAATGTGTGTGTGTGTGTGTCATTATCCCAGTTCCAGGGCCTCCCAGAGGCCAACGATTCCTTCTACGCGCGCAAGCTTCGCGAGGAGCGTTCCGGATCGTATGTGGGCGAGGTGCTGGGGGGCGGGCGGGGCGAGCAGGCGGAGGACGTCATAGACTATGACGAGTGGTGGGCCTCCTTATTAAAAGCGTCTGAGTGTGCGTACCATGCTCCGGGAGATTTCTTCGTTCTTCTTCCATACGTGTAGGTGGGCCTCGGTGGCTTCATTCTTCGTTCCCATATGGGCAGAGGAGAAATTGCAAGTCATGGCAAAAAACAAGATCGCTAAACAGGTTAAGTACACGCATCTTGGGTGAAGCGAAGCCAAAAGGGAACGAAAGACATCCACTGTTGCGGATATCAATTTTCTCAGGGCCAGGCGAAGGTGATCAACGCCCTGTATGAAGAGATGGCGTCCCTCCAGCACCGGCTGGCCGACCACTACTCATCCATCGCGCGACACCAATCCGACGCTCTCTTCGCCCTGCCCCCTCCACACCCACACACAAAAGAAGAAGAAGATGACCACCACGATGCGACACCCCAGGTGTCTCCCATCGACACGATGCCCCCCTCGTCCGCCGCATTGAAGAGGGAACGCGATCACTATTTCCAGAGGGCGCAGAAGATGGAAGAGGCCGGTCGTGACCTGAGCGGGCGGCTGGATGCGTCGCTGAAGGAGGGCGATGGCATGAGGAGGCGGATCGAGTGGCTCGAGGGGCGACGGAAAGAACTCGCCGACAAATGCGCAGAGTTCGCCGGGGAACTCTGCAAGGCCAACGAGGAGCATCGCATCCTCAGGGACATACAGATGGAAAGGTGAGTGAGCTGATACGCCTTCGCCCAATGCATGCCTCCGCGAGCATTTGCCTTTGTGTGTCCCGTCAGGTCGCAGCAGGCTATCGATTGTGTCTCTGCGCTGAAAGACCGCTGGGAGAAGTTTGAGGAAAAGACACACGCTTCTCTCACGTCCCTCGCTTCGCGGCTGGAGCGCCTGACCACCCTCCTCCATGGGGCATACCTCGTCTGCGGCTCACACAGCGGGGACACAAGACAGCAGCAGCAGCCAAGGGGGGAGGACGGGAGGGTGGCGACACACACCGTGTGGAGGCTGGTTGCCCGACAGTCCACCAGATGGCCCACGCGAGACATCCGTCAAATACATCCCATCTTATCGGTGGACAAGGGGGAGCTCAACGGACATACGCTCGAGGGCCTCTTGGCGAGGTACGACCCCTCTATCGCCGAGACAGCACCCAGGCCGCCCTCGTCTCCCCGCAGCAGCCGAGGCGTGCTTGACGAGATTGTCCTGCGGGCGGAAAGCCTGGCTTTCGCCAAGAGCGCTGTGGAACCTCTGATGAGCACGCCGGAGTGCTCGCCCCTTCTCGATGCCTTCCGGAAGTTCGTTGAGACCCATATGAGCATCCAGGAGACGCAAGCCGCACCCCAGCCGCCGGACAACGTGGTGTGCCTCTTGCCAGGCGATCTGCAGACCATCATCACGGCGTCGCGTCAGTCCATCACGAGAGGTGCGGAGAAGGCCAAGCCGCAGAGGAGACGCAGAAGGGAGCCGGTGGCTGATGAAGTCGTTACGGCGGCATTCCGGCCGGTGATGGAGGCGGCGTTGGCTTCATTCTACCAGCTCTTCCCTGAGTGTACACTGGTCATCGCTGGAGCGCCTGACTTGGCAGATCAGCAGTCAGCCGAGGAACTGCAGAAGGATGATGAACAGGGCCAGGAGGAAGCCGTCCAAGTGGACGAGGAGAAGAGACGCGCGTCGGTCATCGGCTATGCGGGGCGGCCCGACTCGCCAATGCGGCACACATCCCCTCCGCGAGTCGTCATCAAAAAATATCCCTCCGACGACATCCAGCGGGCAGCAGTCAGGAGGTTTGCGAGTTTCTCACCGATCGTTGCTGCTGCGAGGAAGTCTGTGAGACGGATGACCGAGCATCCGGGCGGAAGGAAGAGAAGGGCCAGCTGGCTGACCAGTCTGATGCAGGGAGGGTCGAGCCGCGCTGCAGCTGCTCAGGGAGACAGAGAAGGAGAGGAGGGGGAGAGGGCGGAGTGAGACACTGCGAGCGAGAGGCGTTTCTTGTGCGATTGAATTGGCCAATTCTTGAGGTTGTGTTGATGAACGAGCGAGTCGAGTAGGGAGTTGACGCTTATTGACAGTAGATCATCGCCACAACCGTTCGCCACACGGAAACCCATGCAGGTCTCTCTTCGGTCTTCCCTCCGTGGTCGGGTGCCTTGGCATGAATGAATCGATGTTGTCTGTTGTCCCGCCTTTGAAATGGCCATGGGAAAAGTATCGAGATGCCTAGGAGTGTGTGGGTGGGGCTCCGTTTTGCAAAACGGAACGATCCCTTCTCTGCGCGAGCTCGAAGATCTGGCAGAGATCTCACGAACGAATCGAAGGAAGCGGGAATCTGGCAGAGCCACACAGACTTACAAAAGATCTACGGCATGACGGATGAATCGTGCAGGCCTTCTACCTCCGACGATGGCCGTCTGCGGCGCGATGGTGACTCACGAGGCGGCTCTGCTTCATCATCGACGCTGACTGCATCGTCCTGCACGACCCTTGCTGTCGCTTTGGTGCTTGCCATTGTGGCTCTCGCTGCCGACGCCGCCTTCGTCCCCCCTGCGGCCCATATTTCCGCTGCACGGAGGACGTCCTCTCGATGGCGGCTCAGCCGACCTGCTGTGGATCATCATGGAGGAGTGCCGTTAGCGTGTCTTGGAGCGGTGGATGAGACCGAGAGGGACACATCGACAGGTCGGTGGGGTCGCCTGGGGTGGGGTGAGAAGCGCATACAATACATGATGCGATGCGATGCGCAGTGCAGACGTGTGTGTATTGTGTGTGGCTGGTATGTATATATGTATGTATGTGTCAGGCGCACAGTCATCTCCTGCGCCTCGACGGCGGCGCAGGCGCGTGGCCGAAGAACCGAAAACAGAAAAGGCGCCACTCGTCAATGGTGCAAACTGCCTGTCACTCACCCTCTTTCAATCTTTTTATGTGTCTGTGTCTGTGTCTGTGTCTGTGTGTGTCGTTGATCAGTGTGGGATGAGGATGCTGACGATGACTTGGCCGCTGCAGTAGAAGCCGAGAGGGCCAAGTGGGCCTCCCTGCCCTCGAGGGCGCAGCAGCAGGGGCAGGACGAGGGCTGGATGACCAAAGCAAGAGACTCCCTCTCAACCATACTTGTGGTTGGTTCGGACACACACACAGACACAGACACACAGACAAAACACGCAGCCGTCGGACATGAAGGCCAAGTGCATTCAATTCATCTATCCCCCGTTCGTTCGTTCGTACGTGTCTGTGCTGTGCCACATGTGGTTGCAGGTTGACTTCTTTGTGGTGTTGGTGTTTGTGTTGTGGTTTGTCTTTGGGACCATTGCCAACGCGGCCTTCAACGCGCCGGCCGCCATCCAGGCCTTCGACCTGCTCTGGACGCCAGTGGTGCAGCCCGCATTGGGCATCCTCATGCTCGGTCAGTCCGCCAGACTACAAGCATACATACACGAGTCACGACGAAGCCTTGTTGTGTGTGTGTGTGTGTGTGTGTATGTGTATGTGCAGGCACGTTGGGCAGTGCGGGTGCAGGGTGGGTGCAGGAGAAGATGGTGGGCGGCAAGCAGGAAGGCACCTGAACTGAACCATTGTCATCAACAGAGAGGAGACGACACTGTATGAGAAGGAGAGAGAAAGTGCAATGGCTAGATCTAAGCCGCAAGAGAGTCAAGAGTGTCCGCGTCCCTTGTGGTGTGTACGTTCTCTCGCCGCGACGCTAGGGGCGGTTCTGGCGAGCTGTGAGCTACTCGTGACGTTTCGGCCAGAGGACTGACACACCAGATGAGACAGGGCGAGACAGGGGGAGGGAGTGGGGGAAAAGGAGGTGGGAAAGTAGGTCAGCAAGATGTCTACGTCTGGAGGGGATTCATATACGTGTTTGTGTCCCTGTATAGCCCAATCAATGCGCAAGGATTGGTGGATGCAGTGCATGCCGCACTGAGGACGGCTGTCGCAATCAATCACCGTGTCCATATCAATCACATACAGATAACATACGTTTATCGCATTCAATTCATCGGCGTGTGTGTGTATGAGTTACATCAAGCCGTCCGGCTTCAAGCAACCGCTGCCTCTGGGATCGTCCGGCTTCAAGCAACCGGTTCACAGCACACACGCACCAGCAGCACAAGCACAACACTTGACGGATGGAAAGAACAGAAGAACAGAAAAACCGTACTTCACTGTCAACAACTGGCATCACAGACACAGTTGACTGCACTGACTATGTCAGTCAGTCAGAATTCCAGGATGAGATACTCCCACATATACAGGAAGAGCGCCCCTATCATGAGTGATGCCAGGCCGTAGCTGACGAACAGGCTCTTCCGCTTCCTCTCCTTCTCCTGCCGGCTGCCCGTGTCCTGTTCGCTCGTCGTGGTCTTCATCTTGGGCCTCCTGTACTTGTACTGCTCCTCGTCCCACCGCTTCCACGGGTAGAAGTCCTGCAGCCATCGCACCTGCTGCTGACGCATCATGGTGCTGCTGCTGCTGCTGCTGCTGTGTGGGTGAGGGTGGTGGCGCGTCAAGGTCATTGTCATGCTCGTCATGAGGCGGGGCGAGGCGGGTGGCGCAGAAGAGAGGGCGCGGGAGGAGATGGTGACCGGGGGAAGAGATCTGCCGAGCGACGATGAAGTGACGAGTGAGGATCTTCTGCTGCTGAGCACACGCATCTTGACGGGCTGCCTCTTTCACCAGCCAGATCTGCCGAGCTCGCATATCGCGCTGGCCGCCCCTTTTGTCGTGGTTTCTCCGTCCTTCTTCCCTCTCTCGCACCTTTGGCAAGATGCTGGCAAGCAAGATTGGCATCGAGGATGTGGCCGACAAGGTGAACACAGCCAGACGGGAGGGGCCATGCACACACGAGGGGGATGACGGACGAGAGGCAGGCGGGCGGGCAGTGAGGGGGGCAGGCAGACAGGCTCGGCGGCCGCGTGCGGCAGACTCATCAGATCTGGCATCTCGAGGACAGCACACACGACTGCATGTGTGTGGCGGTGTTGTGACGTATGTGGGGTGTGTGTCTGTTGTGTCCATCAGTTGGCGGGCAAGCGCGTGTTGATGCGTGTGGACTTCAACGTGCCGATCAAGGACGGTGCGGTGACCGACAAGACGCGCATCGTGGCGACGCTTCCGACCATCAATTTTGCGTTCGAGAAGGGCGCCAAGGCGCTCATCCTCATGAGCCACTGCGGCCGCCCCGACGGCCGCAAACAGGACAAGTACACCCTCAAGCCTGTCGTGCCGGTCAGTCAATCAGTCACCGAGTGGGTGGGCAGTGAAGGGGTGCATGGCAGATGTCTGTCTGTATGGTGCGGTGCATCCATCGATGGGATGGCTGGGCTGCAGATAGTGGAGGAGTTGACGGGCAAGAAGGTGATCTTCCTGGACGACTGTGTGGGCGAGGCCGTCGAGAAGGCGTGTGCCGACCCCCCGGCGGGATCCATCACCATACTCGAGAACCTGCGGTCGGTCTCACACACACACACACACACACACACAAGACATCCGAACAGACAGGCAGACGCATATGCAATGAGTGCATGTGTGGATGTCTCGTGTGTTCAGGTTCCATGTTGAGGAGGAGGGCAAGGGCACCAATGCCGAAGGCGGCAAGGTCAAGGCCGACAAAGGCAAGACCGAAGAGTTCCGGGCATCGCTCACCAAGTGCGGACAGACAGACAGACCACATGCACACACAGTGACGACACACCACATGATACCGCGTTGATGTGGATGCGTGATGTGTGATGTGTGCCGCGTATGTGTGTGTGCAGGTTGGGTGACATCTTCATCAACGATGCGTTCGGGACGGCCCACCGAGCACACAGCTCCATGGTCGGCGTCAACCTCGACATCAAGTAATGTTATCACACCCACACTCACGCACACCGACACGGAACGTCGATGCGTGTGCAGGGCTGCTGGCAAGCTCATGAAGAAGGAGCTGGACTACTTCAGCAAGGCGCTTGAGAACCCCCCGCGGCCCTTCCTCGCCATCCTCGGAGGCGCCAAAGTCGCCGACAAGATACAGCTCATCCAAAACCTACTCGACAAGTACACGGAGAGAGAAATGGGGGGGGGGGGGGGG